TTCCTGCTGTTGATTCTCCCCTCTCCCAAATCTCTAGGTCAAAAGGTAGAAAATGCACAGAATGTGAGTTCTTCAGAGCCCAGGCCTGTTCAGGAGAACAAAGGACATGAGAAGAAAGAACATGAAGGAATAACAGTAAGATCTTTTCAAAATATATCCATTTGTCACTAAAAATAAACATACAAATTATTAGCACAATACATAAATAGTGGTGTGATGCTATCTTTTAAAACTTTCTTCCATTTATTTGGATGTGTTTTAGGGCCAAATGACTTTGAGGCCTTTTAAAGTCTTGCCTACTTTCTATGTAAAATTACAGTCAAATTACAAAAATAGGGAAAAAATAAACATGAAAACAGAATTTACCATCTGGTCTGTATGTGCCCTTTCTATTTTTAAGGAGCATCCTTACCTGTCAAACAAACGTTCAGATTCCCTATTCCTGATATCACTTTAGGTTGTAGCCTCCACCTGACATGAGTTCCTAGATAAGTGAGTTGCTGCAAAGATCTGTTATGGTTTCTTTCTTTTTTTTTTAATCTAAAATAGCATTTATTATTTTTCAAAAACACAAATTTAAAGTATAAAGAAGAAAATTAAAAAGTAGCCCTAACTCATTCATGCAGATAATTCCTATTTATTCATTTTCTAAAATTAGTATATATGAATAGAAAACTCAGACATCACTGAAAGGTACAAAATAAACAAAGTCTCTCCCTACTCTGCCCTGCCTGGAAGGTAATGAGTGTTAAATTTCCTCTGTCTTCATTTCTGTAAAGGACATATACCAGCTTGCACATTCCGTATGTATATGTATATTATATGTGTATATTTCAGTAATCAGATAAACACCCAGAGGCTCACCACCAGCTTAGGAACTAGAATATCTGCAGTGTTGTTGCTGTGGCCTGTGGGCTTCATCCTGGTCCCTCAGAGAGCAGCTTTCTGTTGGCTTTGTGTTTATCGTGTCCTTGCTTTGCTCTAGAGTTTTGCTCAAAATATATGTATCTCCAAACAATATGTCCTTTAGTTTTCCTTATTTTTAAACTTTATAAAAGTGGTATTATTGCTTTGTTCACTCATTATTATGTATTTCTAAGTCCACATTGCAGCACGTAGCCCTACTTCATTGCTTTCTTTGCTGTATGATACTCCACTGTGAATAGACCACAGCCTACTTTCCCATTCTCTTGTTGACAGACATTTAGATTGTTTCACTTTTTTTTAAATGAAAAACGAAGCTATGTACATTCTTCATCAAGAATGTGAGTGGAATTGATGAGTCACAGAGCAGCATAATGTTGTTCTTTACAAAAGAATGTGTCTTTTTCCAAAGTGATTGTACCATTTATGTACCAGCGGTGTGTAGAGTTACCATTCATCCACATTCTTGTCAACACTTACTATTGTCAGATTTCAAATCTTTTGAGTCAGGTGGGTGGAAATGGGATCTCATTTTATTTTGCATTTCTCAAATTACTAATAAAGTTTAAAATCTTTCCTTATGTTGATTGGCCGTATGTCTTTCATCTGTTGAATGCGTACTGATGTCTTTTCCATTTTCCTATTGATTTCTTTGTCTTTTTCTCTTTTATTTGTACTAATTCTTCATATAATCTGAATACTGATCCCTATGTTGGTTATGTTTCTGGCAAATACCTTCTTCCAGTGTCTGGTATATATTTTCACTTTCTCTGTGTTGTCTTTTGATGAACAGAAGTTCTTAATTTTTATATTCTTGGTTATCATTTTTGTGGTTATGTTTTATGAAAATTTTAAAATATCAACTGCACAGGGATAAAAGTATTTACCTTGTATTTATAAGTGTTTCAGTTTTGCTTTATACATTTAAGTCTTTCAGCTACCTAGAGTGGATATTTATGGAGTGAGGTGGGGATCCAATTTCATTTTTCTTTCCCCGCATGTATATCCATTTCTGGGTCCCATATATTGAATTCATTTTTCCTTTATTAATCTGAATGCTACCTTTCTCTCATATATACTGCTTCCCAGATGTGTAAGGCTTTATTTTGGTCCTTCTTGAATCATTGGTTTCTTTGTCTCTCTGTCTTAATTACCATAGTCCCCCCACTTCCTTCTTCCTTCCTCCCACCCCTTCTAATGGAAGCTATTTTTCTACTATCTTCTGTCTTTCATTGTTGCTGTTGAGAGGTCTTCTGTTCATCCTATTTGTTGTTCCTTGTTGTTCTTCATCCTTGTCCTTCAGTTTCCCCACAGTATATTTAGGTGCATTTTCTTTTGGTCTATACGTTTGTCCTGTTTTGGATATGGTATATGTGCCATGTGTCTTTGAATACTTGTTCTTCCATTGCTTCTGGAAAATTCTTGGTAACCATTTCTTCAAATATTGCCTCTTTTTTTGTTCTCTCTGCTCTTTCCTTCTGGAATTCTGGGTAGAAATATATTTAGACCTTCTCATTCTGTCTTCCATGTCTCTCAAGCCCCCTTTCATATTTTCCATCCTCCTTGGCTTATATGGGTGTATTCTGGGTAGTTCATCAGATCTTTCACTCAGTTCAATAATTCTCTCCTTACTCATAAATAGTCTGCTGTTTAATACTTTCATTCAGTATTTTGGTTCAACAATTATACCTTTTGCTTCTGCAAATTCAGGTTAATTCTTTTCAGGTATATCTTGCAATCTCTCATAATCTCTTGTTGCTTGCCATCTTTTATTCCTTTAAAATAATCACAGATTACTTTATTCTAAATTCTTTATCATTATCTGAAATCAGTCTGATATTTGTTGTTTCTGAGACTATTGTGCATGGTGGTTTATTTATTTCCTTTGCTGTTTGGTGATCTTTGATTGTGAGTTCTTACCTGGCTCATCTGAATCTACAGAAAACCTGGATATCTGAAGTGATGAAGTTTCACCAGGGCAACATTTGCATTTGTTTCTTCCAGGAAACAGGGAGTGCTATTAATCCTGGACTCTTGGTCCTTTTGCCACAGGGAGTGGCAACATTAGATTTACCCCTAAAGTAGCCCCATTTCACTGCCCTGATTTCAGTTTGCTTTGGGAGGTAGGGAGAGGGTATGGATCACTTGGAGGTTTATTTTACTTCCTGTGAGCCCCAAATTTTTATGTAGGTTCTAGTTCTGTAGTTGGAGGATATTTCATCTCTCAGAGAATCAGAAGCAGAAGAGCCCACATTCTGCTTTTCAATTAAGGAAGTATCCTGGGTATATTTCCACTGTCATATTAGACATATATCATCCTTCCTTAAGGCTGAGTAATATTTTGTTCATATACTGTTAATCTTCTAAGTATCTCATTTATGACCTACTTCTGTGTTTTAGCTTAATAATTATTCTGTCCTTTAATTATACATCTTTGTCCCCCCTTTTCATGTGTTTGCTTGTTTAATATTCATTCCTTGAGTTGGCTCATTGAATCCCATGTTTTTTGTATACTCTGAACTGGAGGGCCTTAAATATATTTTTTCATTTTTGGCTGTATCCTCCATCTCACCAGTCGTGGATTTTTGTTGCACACTTATAGCACATTCTCTTTAGATGTTCAGCCCAAAGATGAAAATTAAAATATCAGAAACTTTCTCAAGTTCCTCGATCCATTGTCTGTCCATCCGTCGGTCCTCCCTCCTTCCCTTCCTTTCTCCCTCCCTCTCTCCCTTCTTTCCTTCGTCAACATCATTCTCATGGTCCCCTAGATTCATATCCTTTTGTGATTAAACTCCCACTCCCATGTACAACTCTTATATAAGCTCTCATATAAGCTCTTGACTGTCATTCTGCAGCATTTTTAAATTTATCTTTTCTTCTCCTTTTCTACCATCAAAAGCCTTATCTGCTCACTCCTGAGTCACTGTAACAGTTCCATGGCAACTTCTTAACTCTGTCCTGCAGATAGCTACTCGACTTACCTTTCTCGTTACGTTTTTAATCACAATAAGCTATTGTCTGGAACAGACAGTTGCTCATTTTGTCAGTACTGGGTTGAAATTCCTAAGCCTGATGTTGGCAGCCCACTGGCAGCTGCCTCTTGTAGAAGGTGGTCGCATTTTCTTCCTACCATTTTCACCTGACTGCCCTACATGGCCTGCTATAATCGGCTTCTTTTCCTGCACATAGAACTTGCTGATTCCTCAGTGCTTCCTGCCCTGAGTCCCCTCCTGCCTTCTCTCTACCACCTCATGTCTGTTGCTTCTTGAACAGCTACTGTCACTGTGAGCCGGTCAAGGTAATGCTTTATTCTGCAAACCTTTTAGAGAGGGTTGACTCGCATATTTTGCTACTCTGCATTGTAACCATTTTGTGTAATTTGTGTATGTTTTGTCTTTCCAAGCCAGTTATGTAAATTTTAGAGGATGCGAATTGCCTCACAGTGTTCTAGTCCTCTGTTTTTCAACCACGGTCCAGTGCTGAGCAGTGCTCAGGAAAGCCTGCTGCACACGTAACAAGGGAAGCACTGAATGACCTTTGGGAGTCTGGGTGGAGTTTCTGCCTTCCCTGCCAGCACCCTGGCCATCCACCGGGAGTTAGGCTTCCTGGAGGATTGTATCCATTATCCATGTTGCCAGAGCAGAGGTACAAGTAGTATTTCAAAATAAACGATTTCCATATAACTTGGCACCCCTCCTCAGTAGACCATTTTAATTGGATGTCAACTGACAAAGTAGAAGCCTTAAATTTCAGATCTTGTATAATTTATAATTCAGTTATAGTAATTTGTGAACCCGTATCCTTCCAGTGCAAAACGTCATTCAGTTTTTTTGTTGCCCGTTATTATTGTTTGTTTCTTTTTCTTTAGAAATGTGGACTAGAAACTTACCAGTCTTATAAAAATGAAAACTTCCCTGTACCAAATGCAATATTTCTTTCTGTCTGAAGATCTCAGTACGAAGAAGCAGCAGCCCCGCTGAATTGGATTTGAAAGATGATTTGCAGCAGACGCAAGGAAGATACAGGGGGAGACAGAAGAGTAAGTGCCAGCACATGTGGTCTGTGTTCCTCCAGCTTCGGCGAGGCTGCATTTTGTTCCCTTTTGACTTTCTAACTCGAATGATATCCTATCATCTGAAGACACGTGGTTGTGAAATGGGACATCTTTATTCCTGGGATCCCAGGATGATGGGTGATTAGTGTGCACATACAGTTGAATAGATCCAGTCAGTTACCTATACCTTCGAGGCCTGTCTTTCCAGCCCTGGGACTTTCTCCAGGTGAGAAGCACAACCAAGGTTGATGTCTGGGTGAGCAGACAGACGCAGAAGGAAAAATGGCCTTCCCCAGAAAGTTTCCCCAGGTTAGGAGCAAAAGCTTCAGAAGTACCTTGAAGTCAATGGCATAAGTATCTAAAAAATAAAATCTGACTGGGATGCTGAGACGTACCATCACATACTGTGAAATGCAGTCCCTGATACTCCGCTTCCCTGAGGTCCACTGCCAGGGCCCCTCCTTCTTGGCGGATCCTGGTGGAGGGCGGAGCAGGGCCTCTTAGGCTCCACCTTCTAGAGTCCTGGGGCAGTCAAAGTTAGGGACCTAGCAGGTTGGGGACTGGGATAGCTGCCAGTTCTCTGCAGGTGAAGAGTGGACAGCAGATTAGAAGCAGCAGGGCTGGGGGACTGTCAGTGACAGATCAGAACGCAGCCGGCAGAGCTGCAGGCAGAGAGGGCGGACACCCCGAGTCCTTGTGGAGCAGACGGGATTTGGGGGGCAGGCTGGCTGGGTCTGTTCTGCGTCAGACTGAATAGCCCTGTGAGGCTTCACAGCCTTTGGAAGCATCCTTGTATCATGACAAATTAGAACTTTTTAGTGTTTAAAGGGGAGAGTCTCTATTGAAGAAAACCTTTTGTGTGGGACACCTCATCCCCCGGTGATCCTGGGTGATTCACCCCAGGTTCAAGTCTAGACATCGGGCATGAGGTAGAAGGCATCCTTGGGCTCTTCAACCTGCCAGAATAAACTCGCTTCTGTGGTGGAATCAATTCCCCTCCCCTCCTCCATCCACCCCCGTTTTGTAGTTGAATAAGTCAGGGTAGAAAGCATAAGAACTCGAGGCGATCTTCTCCGTACCTGGGGGAACTCAGTTAAGACCCCTGAATAGGGTGCAGCTTGGGCTGTAGGTGGCACGGCCCATAAGGACTGCTCGTGCCCCATGCCTGGAACCTCTGTTTCATTGACCGGGAGCCCCACGCAGGCACCTTTTGAGCCCCTGTCCTGAGAATGATTCCTGCT